CTGATTCCATGTGATTGTAGTAGTCTGTTGGTGGTTTCTAAGATATTCTTGATGTATGGCAGTGTAACTCTTTTTAGGGTGTGTGTAGGTTGTGCTGTATTGGGTTGAATGATCAGGGACTTTCTGATAAAGTTGCTTGGCTATCCATTGGTTGAAATGTGTTGTATAGATGCTCCATTTCCTTTTTCTGCTATTCTGTGTTGCTGCAGTGTGTTTAAATGAGCCTGCTTAATAAACAGCCCAACCAAATAATCTCTAAGACTGCTCTCTCCCACACAGACAGGCAAGTCACCAGAATATAAACTGACAGCAAACAGCACCCCTTACTAGCACTGATGATGTTACCTAGTTAGGATAATGAAATGTGCAAGAAAACAAGCAAGCACCAAGGACCCCACATTTCAATCCTGAGCCAGAAATATTGTCCTTTATTTATTAATTCTGTTTACCAGCCAGTCACAAGTCACTGTCTTAGTTTGACATGTGTGGCATGACTATTGTGCTTAGGAAGTCATAAAGTGGAATCAATGACTTCTCCAGAAAAATTCTGTAGGGACAGTTAATTTCAGAAAAATCTATATATTTTCTATATATAGAATATATGTATGGTAGTTTTATACATTGACTCTTAGTGGCAGTGTGAATTCTTTGTTTAAAGTTTATGATGGAGAATTAATTGAAAACAAGACCTACTAGGAAATTGCTTGTATAAACAACTTCTAATATGTTGCAACATTTATAAAATTATCTAGTGACATTTTGATTTGTGGAGCATTCCATTTGTGTTTAAAGGAACAACTGTTAGCTTTAGTAACATGTTAAAAAGTCCTAGCAGGTAGGATTGTGCCTCAAAACTGGATTTGTAGGAGAAAAGGTGATTCAGAGCATTGTTTGCATCTCACCTATGATCACATGTCTAATTTAAACACATTTTTCTTGGATGTGTTGAAAGAATTGTATGGTTGACAACTCTAGCTTCTAAGCCAATTAACTTTGTCAGAGCACTTGCCATATTCTGTTACAAATGCTTTTAAGCAGCCTGGTAATGTAATAAAAAAATCAGAAAGTAAAAATAAATGTGTTTGGGCTAGTCACTCAGTGTCTTCCCAACGTCCCTCATAGTGAAGGGTGTTTTAGGGGAGAATGATCCCTTGGAAACCTCATAAATTTCTGAAGGAAAGAGTGGCATATAAAACAAACAATTTCAAATAAATCAATCAATTGTACTTTATGCACTAAAACCACCTATTTGCCGGAAATGTTCCTAGTCAGGTTTCATTCTAGAGCACAAGATTCATTTAGAGTTTCCACAAAATAGTGAACAGAGAAGTCATTATTAAAAATTTTCTAAAATGTTAAAGTGTAAAGGATGCATTATTTTCTGCTTGGCAAAAAAGTTACAAGCATTACACCCCCATATAGACACACACACACACACACACACACACACACACACACACACACAAGTAAAAACTAATATAAACTATTATAGAATAAGGAAGAAAAAATAGAAATCAAAGAGAAAGCTAAAAGTGGAAAGAAAAAAGTCAAAGTAGAAGAAAAAAGGTACAAAAAATGACTTCTGATCTTTATAACAGTTATAAGTACAATTCTAAATTTATCTCTTCATTTCTTTCTATAATCTATGCTATCTGGTCTTCAAAATCATAAGTTCAACTTTTTCTCTTTTTTTGCAAAAGTCCACATGGGTCATGAATAAATGTAGATATTGTCTTTTCTGTGACTCTCTGAATGGATATGTGCCCCATCTTCTTCTTTCGCATCTAGATCAAACTTGATCAAACTGCCAGAACAAGGCCACTTGTTTGGCTTTGTTGTTGGCCAAAAAGAAGTCATTATATATGTTTCTGGTAGTAGCTGACATACCAGCAGATGGGCTAGGCTCTGTGTCTCTCCACATTCACACCACTTGAGCATATTGGTCTTAAATTTAGGCAGTCCAACTGTCAGGGTCCTCCGTGTCATATAAGGGATGTCATATCCTCGAGCCATATTCTCTACTGTTATTTCTTGCTCAGTGGTCTACTTCCTCCATCTTTTAATTCAGTTTTGTTTCTTGTGTACCCCCAATAATGTTTTTTCCCCTTGCCATAATGTTCCTATATCTGAGCCAGCGGGCTCGGGGCACATGGCCATTTAGAGAATATCGAGAATCATTCTCTTGCTTAGTTCTCTCAGCTACTTCTGCCCTGATTTTAGCTGGGGCAATGCCAGCGAGAGGATACATTTTCTCAATTGGTGTAGGTTTGAGACCACCTGTCACTATGTGTATTGTTCATTGACAGCTACATCAACTTATTTTGTATATGCAGAGAAACGCCACATTGGAGCAGCATACTGATGTGCGCAACATAGATGGTTACATTACTATGTATAGCTTATCAATTTCCTGATGATTCTGTTTTTCGAGCAGATTTAGCTTTAGAGTTCAGGCAAGGCTGGTTTTAAAAAAAAAAGCATCCTATCAGGTGTCACACCGAGATATTTTGCTGTTGGACAGGGCTATAGTCGGTTCCCTTGCCCCATAGCATCCAACTCTTCCATTGAATCTTGATTTCGGAGGTGGAAAGCAACACTTGGGTCTTGTTTGGGTTGGGCTTTAAATTGTTGATGGTGCAATATCATCCTAATTCTTCAATGCTACCATATGTCTCCCAACTATCTCATCAAAAGTTGATCCTGGTGAGCCCAGTGCTATATCATCTGCATAGATGAATAGACATTTATTTGTAGGGGATTAGTTGATCATTCGTATATACAATGTTGGAGAAAATACGTTTCTTGTGGCAGCCCGTTCTCATACATCTTCCATATATGTTCTTACCATTCAGGGTCACATAAAATCACAATTTTCCATGATCAAACAAGTCCATAAATACATTTTCTAAGACAAAAAACGTATTTGTTACAAAGGCTTTTGTGCCTGTAAACGTCCCTAAAAAAAAAGTAGAAACATATAAATACTTTTAAATACATACATAGAAATGGGTAAAATGTAAATGTTCTTTGAACTTTTCTTGTTTTAGGGGAAATATTTCTATATTACTCCTGGAATTTGTCCTAGCCTATATACTATGAAATCTATTGTGGAGTCGGCAGGTGGCAAGTTGTTATCTAAACAACCTTCTTTCCGAACAGTTATGGAACACAAACAAAATAAGGTAGATGTTATCTCTATCTTTTTATGGAATATTTCACTGTAAACTGTATCAACTAATTCAGTTCCTTTTTTTTTAATGTAGAGCTTGTCAGAGATTATCCTTATTTCTTGTGAAAATGATCTACACTTATGTCGTGAATACTTTACCAGGAACATAGGTAGGTCCTTACTGTCCTTAGGTGATACTTACATGTTTAAACATTTGGGATTTATTTATGTATTGCATTTTGCCTCATCATGCTCTCTCAGACTCCAGAGCTTCACCATAATACAAATGCTAAAACTGTGCATAGGATTTTCTTAACAGTTGGTTCTGTTTTGCTATTTATTTATTAAACTTGCAAAAACAGTGGTGTAACATGAGAATTGCCTGCACAGCTGCATTCTGCAATGGCTGAAGCTTCTGATACTCTTCAAGGGCACCCCCATGTAGAATTCATTGTAGAAGTCCAACCATGAGATGACTGAGCACAGGGAGTCCCAATCCAGAAAAGGGTGCAACTGGTGCACAACACAAAGGCCCTCCTAAACATGACCACCACCTGCTCATTGAGGAGGAGTTGCAAGTTCAGGAAAACTACCAGATTATGCACTGGGTATGTCAGTGATAGAACAAATCCCATCCAGAACTAAATATGTTAAATCCTGGAGCTGGAAGCTCTAACGCACCCAAAGCTTACTCTTACCAAGGTCGAGCTGATGTCTGAAAAAAGTTCAGGGAAGAGCAACATCAAGGTCTGGAGAATAAAACATGAAGAACAGCTGCAGGATTTGGGTTTGGCTTGTCTAAAGAAAAGGAGGACTAGGGGAGACATGTTAGCAGTGTTCCAGTATTTGAGGGGCTGCCACAAAGAAGAAGAGGTCAACTTATTCTCCAAAGCACCAGAGGGCAGGACAAGAAACAGTGGATGGAAACTAACCAAAGAGAGAAGCATTCTGGAATTAAGGAGAAACTTCCTAACAGTGAGGATAATTAATCAGTGGAATAGTATTCAGAAATCGTGGACGCTACATTACTGGAAGTTTTAAGAAGAGATTAGACAGCTACTTATCTGAAATAGTATAGGAACTCCTGCTTGAGCAGGGGGCTGGACTAGAGTGTCCTCCAGGGTCCCTTCCAGTTCTATTCTGTTTTCCTTCATCCACACCCTCTCAGCCTCAAGACAGTGCTTGGGTCTCCTGGGATGGAGATGGAAATTTGAATATCATCAGCAAACTGTTAGTACCTCACCCCATGATGGTGAAAGACCTCACCCGAGGGCTTCATGTAGATGTTGAAAAAGAGTGGAGAGAGTACCAAGCCCTGTGGACTGGATCTCTCTCCCCCTAGCAACACCGATTGGGACTGGCTTTGGAGGAAGAAGCCAAATCAGTGAAAACTACGCAGCCCAACCCCAAATCCCACAGCTGGCCTCAAAGGATACTATGGTCAATGGTATAGAAAATCATTAAGAGGTCAAGGAGAGCAATGATGAATGTACTATCTCCATCCCGCTCTTGCTTTTCCTGCCCCATACCCAGGTCCAAAACCTAACTGGAAGAGGTCGAGATAATTCATTTCATCCAGGACCCTCTGAAGCTGCCAAGCAAATCACCTTTTCTACCACCTTCCCTAAAAGGGAGAATGGGAAACTATACGAAAATTGTCCAGACAGGTAGAATCAATCATTGATTTTTTTTTTTTTGAGGAGGGGGCAACCAATACTTCCTTAAAAGGTCCTGAAAATGTGCCTTCCTCTATCATTACCTGAACTTACCTGGCTGTTGCTGTTCTGGAGGATTTCACCGACCAGGAGAGGGACAGGGATCTAATTGGCAGGTGGTTGCACTGATAGTATTGAGGAAGGTGTCCATTTCGTCAGGTTCAACAGAATTGAACTGTTCCCAGATAAACCATGTAAGACCTTTCCTTAGGCATCTCACGCCGAGCTGCACCACGCTTAGGTTTCAACTGGGAATGAATCTTCGCGATCTGTCCATCAAATTCCTTCACGTGACTCTGAAGATGATCACCTGAGCCTTCATGTTCCAGGAAGGACCGGGTGATCCCGAACAGAGCCACCAAGTGACACTATGGGACGCAATAAGGGCTGATAAATAATGGTATTTTGCTGCTGTTATTGCCAAGAGGTAGCAGCTCTGAATTGTGTCTCGTTGGCTTCATTCCTCTTTTTTCTCCAGCAGTGCTCAAAGCGTTTATTATCCTTTTCAGAACCTTGCATCTCCTCCTCCATGTGAATCTGGTCATGAGAAGCCCCTCAGGCACAATTCTGTCCCAAGCCTCAGCTGCCCTTTGGTTTTAGGATGTGACCAGAGTGTTGGCAGGAGCATGCAACAAATTTTGTTTGCTATTAATGTAAGCTGCCAGAGTCGCTTCGGATTCAGGCAGCATCTAGATTTCATAAATAAATAAAGGCATACTTAGTGGTTAGGATGTAGAGATGAATATATTGCTTATCACACAGTTCTTAATTTTTTTACAGTTGCCCCAAGCCACATGCCACTTCATGAATTTACATGAATCTGCTCTTAATTTGTCTTATTTATTTTCAAAAGTATAAATACAACACCTAAATATTCAGTATAAATACAACATCTAAATATTAATGCAGTAATCAATATTAACAGCCAGAACATCTTTTTGAAATGGATTAGATAATAATTGTGCCTTTGTCTTTCTTTTTTAATATTACCTATTTATTTGTGTTTTATTTCAAGCCTGAATGCAGTTTCATTTGAACATTACAGTTGGCTGTGATCCAAAAGGACAATTTTGGGATAAATTGTTCTGGCCATAAGAAACAGTCGATGCTTGGAACAATTTTGGTACTGCTATTTTTCATTTCAGGGCAGCAAGAATAGATAGGATTGGCAGCCTACATAACAATTGACTATTGGGATGGTTTTTAAGAGATTGCTGGAAAAAATTTTTGATAGGAAAAAAATATTACAGTACCTGCAGACAGTATTTCCATTTCAGTCTTACTTTGGCAAATTCCTTCTGGCCAGATAAAATACAGGTAGTCCTAGACTTACAACCATTCATTTAGTGATTGTTCTAAATTACAGTGGCACTGGAAAAAATAACTTAGAACCATTTTCAAATTCAGAAATGTTGCAGCATCCCCATGGTCATGTGATTAAAATCTGGACGCTTGGCAACTGACACATATTTATGATGGTTGTAGGGTCCTGGGGTCATATCATCACTTTTTGTGACCTTCTGACAAGCAAAATCTATTTGGAAGCTAGATTCATCTATGTTACTAACTTAGCTGCAGTGATTCACTTAACAGCTGTTGCAAGAAATGTTGTAAAATGGAGCAAAGCTCACTAAACTACATTACTTATTAATGGACATTTTGGGCTCAGTTGTGCTTGTAAGTCAGGAACTGTATTCTATTTTCGTGCATTCTGTAATGAAATATTTCTTTTTTTGTCATTTTCTTATTCTGAAAATGTTGCAAATTACAATTCAATTATATTTCTTTGCACTGTTAATAATTAGAAATAACAAACATTTTTTAATATTAAGGATGATTATCATTATTAAATTTATATGCTGCCTGATTCCCAGCATCTCTAGACAGTTACTGAGTATCAAATATAGGAAGTACTATTTTGTTCCAAGTTGAGCTTAAGTTAAGTTTACTTTATCATGTCACCTTGTACAACAAAATTAAATGCCATTACACATATTAGTGTGAAAGGGAGATGGATTAATGTAACAGAATAGAAAATAAAAAGTTGAAATGAGTTGCCAAACATGCTGTTATTGACAATTATATGAAAGTTTAACAGCCACCATTTAAAACCTACTGTTAGGAAAGGCTAATACTATTGTTAGTCATTAAACAGACTACTAAGGTAGTTTGAATAGAAAAAAACATTTGACTTTTGTGCAAGGTCATTTTATGACTTGAAACCAAGAGAATTCTTAGGTGTGGTATATTTATTTGTTAACCGAGGCACTGCTTGGGTGCATCTGGCAGATGCCCAGGATATGACTTGCCACTGATTTAATCTGGTCAAATGCACCATCTGCCTTTTAGCCATCTTTTATTGGGATCCAGCTGCTAGGTTTCCCTAACTGATTAAAATTTTATATTAATATCCATCATATTTGTATGTTCTTTTGATATTTTGCAGATGTCCATGGTGCAGAATTTGTTCTGACTGGAGTCCTCACTCAAACACTGGATTATGATTCATATCCTTTTGTATGCCACTTCCCTCCTTAAATATTACACTGATTTCTGCAAGAACACCAAGCTCAATTAAATAGGTTTGGTTTTCGGTGTTTGTCATAATGGGTATTGTATAAAATAGATATATGCAGACTGGAAATTATAATGCATTACAGGTAATCCTTGAGATACCACCATAATGGAGCCTGCCATTAGGATCTCATACCACAATGGCCATTAAGCAAATCCCTGCTCTCCGTGATGGAGCTATTAATAGCAATAGCAATAGCAGTAGACTTATATACCGCTTCATAGGCCTTTCAGGCCTCTCTAAGCGGTTTACAGAGAGTCAGCATATTGCCCC